CATATTCATATTCATATTCATATTCATATTCATATTCATATTCATATTCATAGTTAGTACTCGTATTCGCATTCGTACTCATACTCTAATTCCTATTCAGTAATAATCCAGAGAACATCTAATCATCATTCATTACCTGTCGTTACGGTGCCTGCCAAGGCATTGCCGCCAGTCTTGGTATTGTTGCTCACAACCTTTGTGGGTGTGGTCGATTTTGGAGTTTTCACTACAACCGTATCTTCATCGTCTAGCGGCTTCGTTTGCAGCTGTGGACGTACGACGCCTACAACGGTAAGAAAAAGTTAATTTGTAATGCGATTTGCAATAACACTACATCCCCACCCTAATGTGCATGTACATACCTTCGTACAAATCACGATTACTGATATCTTCCGGGAACTGATGATGGCGCATCGACTGATCATTGATGTTGGAATGCTTATGCAGCTGTGGTATTAAATTCAACCACATAGACAATTTATGTCCACGATAATGACTCTGCACTTCTGCTTTATTGCCTAGCGAGTGGACAGTAGAAAGAGAGAAACATTCAATAATGCACGCAAAAATCATTCAAGGCGGTGTTCATTACCCAGCTCCAAATAGAGTTGATTCACCACATCGTAGGCATCCCAAAATGGCAAATGTTCGCCGCGGTTAGGTTCGTCGGCAGCAGCAAATCGTTGCAATGCTGCATTCAACAGTTCATTAGATTCGTTGTTGTTGTTGTTGTTGTTGTTGTTGTTGTTGTTATTGCGCAAGTGTCGCTTGTAGTAAGCTCGCCGTTCACGCATTGCGCCGCTACGCCGCTGATTGTAGAACAAAGCGAGATTTAGCGAGCCTTGCGCATCTAATACGGCATTGCCGTGTTGGAGTGCGAGTAGATGCGGCGCGGTGAGATTGAAAAATTTATTGACAGCATTTAGCGACTTGAGTGAGGCGCGCTTCACTTTGCCATGCTCCATGAGCTGTGCTGTGAATACCGGCAATTTGGACGTTGATGCAGATATGGATGGTGTGTCTAAACCTGAATGATTTGGATTGCTAAGGGGATGAAGAAGAGAAGTGTAAAATGTGCTAATAGCGCTGCGTATGTGCTATTTTTAGTGGTGTGCATGGCGTATGAGTAACCAAAAATTTCGTAAATAGTTCAAATGCAGTGCGTATGAGTAACTCAAATGTTATACACGGCGTATGAGCAACAGAGAAGTTGCATTGTAAATAACATAAAATAATTTTGTAACTGTTTATGTATAATACACCTTGGTTATAACCATGATAAAAACATTACAAGGTAAATTCATTCTCTCATTTCGTCGGCCATGATTTTTTTCTGACGTTTGCCAACATTTTAAAATCATATAAAATTGAAAATAAAACAAGTAAAAAAGTCTAAGTTCGGGCGGAGCCGAACATTAAATACCCGGCGCAAGTATTAAATATATGTTTTTTCACCTTTCCGAAACCTACCGCTAGATGGTAAGCCGGGGTGTATCAATTTTGAGTAAATTAGTGTCCTTAAATTTCGAAATATTGAAGTTTTAAGCATTTCTGAAATTTACCGTTATATGAAAAGCGGGCGTAATTTTAGTCCGAGTTCAATAATTTTCAACCTTTTGCTTATATGTGGCAAGCACAATAACCACACCGAGTTTGGTACAAATTGGTAGAACGGTTACCGATATACATATATGTGATCATAAGTGGGCGGTGCCACGCCCTTTTTCCAAAATTTTACCATTAGCGTATTTCTTGGTAAAGAATTGTTGCAAGCATCAATTTAGAATAAATAAGCTTCAATATTTATTGATTTATCGAAGATTTTGCATTTCTCTAAATTACCGTTATATGGGATTTGGGCGTGGTTATCGTCCGATTTTAAAAATTTTCGGCGATTTTTTATGCTGTACCAAGGCCAACAACTGTGCCAAGTTTGGAAGAAATTAGTGCAGCGGTTACCGAGATATACACATGTAACCATAAGTGGGCGTGGCTCCGCCCATTTTCCAAAAATTTATAACACTCTTAGTTGTCGTCTAAAAATTGTTGCAAATATTAATTTTGAGTGAATAATCTTCGGTAGTTACTAAAATATCGCAGTTTTCGTATTTCCGAAAATTACCGTTATATGGGATGTAGGCGTGGTTATTCTCCGATTTTTTAATTTTTAGGCCATTTAGTATGCTGTATCAAAGCCAACAACTGTGCCAAGTTTGGAAGAAATTGGTGCAGCGGTTACCAAGATATACACATGTAACCATAAGTGGGCGTGGCTACGCCCATTTTCCAAAAATTTACAATATTCTTATTTTTCGTCTAAAAATTAGTGTAAATATTAATTTTGAGTGAATTATCTTCAGTAGTTACTAAAATATCGCAGTTTTCGTATTTCTGGGAACTACCGTTATATGGGAAGTGGGCGTGGTTACAGTCCGATTTCGCCCATTTTCAATACCAACCTACCTTGGATTAAGGGAAACCTACATACCAAATTTCGTTGAGATATCTAAATTTTTGCTCGAGTTATCGTGTACACGGACGGACGGACAGACGGACATGGCTTAATCGATTTCTTTTTTCATTCTGATCATTTATGTATACATTTGTCTATATCTATCTCGATTCGTTTTGGCTGTTACAAACAACCGTTATGTGAACAAAATTAATATACCCTTGTGCACAAGTGCGCTCGGGTATAAAAATTAAATTGTTCACAATTGTTGTTGCTTGAGATTGAAAATGAGAATGTGTGTGTGAGTTTGAGTTTTGATTTTAATTTATTTATTGTTGGCAAACATCAGACTGCCTCTCAATGGTTTTACCTTGTTATGTTTTTATCATGGTTATAACTTTCGAAAACAGTCTACCAATTTTTATTTAATTAATATTTTTTTTTTTTTTTAATTTTTGCCTTACCCCGTTTTCGCAAAATTTGCGAGATAGCGCAACATAAGGCGACTAATCTGTTTCTCCTGAGTTGTATAGTTGTGCGGGAAGAGTGGTGAAATGGGTAATCCTAACCAAAAAGGCACATCTTCACCACGAACGGAACCAGTTCGCTAAAAAAAAAGTTTTATTAAAAAATATGTATGTACATATGTACATGCGTATAGAATAGCTGCATTCCTCGTTGACCCTCTCAACCAACCTGCGGATACTCCTCCTCGACTGTTCGGTGCTTAAAATGTAAAAAATAACTGCGGCCACCGCGTAAGCTATGCATGTAGCCTAGTTTGATGAGACCCGCTGCTGTATGGCCATCACTCAAAAACGAGAGCGTAGCATCGCGAGAACTCAGCGGGCTGCGTATCGCTTTCTCCCAATCGGTGTATTCATTCTGGAAAAAAGTTAACTATTTAAGCGACTTTCTTGAAATCGAAAAATTCGAAATTCGAAAAATACATTATCCATACAGATTTTGACAGTTTCGTTAGGTTTCGAATCTTCGCGGTTATCGTGAATTTTTCCACACAAAAATTGTCTACAACAAATTTATATTGTAAGGAAAAAATACATAATTATATTTTTTAATTTGGGCAGATTTTTGGGAGAGAAAACGACGGACACATGTACATTAGAATGGTCTAAGCTTTGATATTCCTTTTGATATTTGTAATATCCATACCAAATTTCAATTGTCTACTGTAACCAATACAGGGTGCTCAATGACCTTGAAATGAGCTACTGGATAGCTTCGAAACAGGCACAACCCTATTAAGCTGGCATTTCATTTCGGCTCAAGCACCCACCCTGCCCTACCCGGCTACGGCCATGTATGTACAAAATACATCTAAAGTAAAATATAAAAATTTCATGAGCATCCTGTTAATTTATATTTAGAAACGTAAAGTTTGGTGCCTGCACCTCTTTCGGCTAGATGAAAAATTTTGAAAGATGATCCAAAACCATATCTCGGAATTTTGTTTTGCACCACTCTAATGTACATACTAGAGGGCTGCATGAATTCATTCAAAACGGCTTATGAATTATCCATATACAAAACGAATGAATGGTTTTGGCTTGAATTTTTTTTGAATTTGAGTGAATACCTGTTCTGGTATATTTGTCGACATTACAATATTCAAACAATGTGAAAATAAATTGTTTTGAAATAAATGCCAATTTTTTTTGTATGAATATGCAAAAATATTTTTTCTGTGCACATATGTCCAAACATACATTTGTATGTGTGTATGTATTGCCGCGCTCCTATTACAATATGAAAAAACTTGTTTGTAGAAAAAACTGTTACCGAAATGAATTTGAATGTTTTCCATTCATTCATTTTCATTCCATTTGAAGGTTTAAAACAAAATGTATATTCATAACTTACAAAATTCCAAACGCTGAGTGTTTTGTATGTCTCTGTTTGGCTAGAAATTTGAATGAAGTCATGCAGCACTCTAGTACATACATACATACGTGGATTAAATTTTTTACATTAAATTTCAGCACATTTTTTCTTGAATTAATTATCTGCCTGTTGCAATTCAGTTTTATGTTGTTTTACATGTTATGTTACTTTCTTTAATGTTATGCTATTTTATTTTATGTTATGCTATGTTATTTTATGTTAAGTTATGTACATATATATGAATGTGTGTACATACTATGTTCATTTTTTCATTAAATTTCAGAAAATTTTTTTCAGTTATCCGCTTAATTAATTTGTTTATATGTTACATCATGTTAATTTATGTTATGTTATGATATGTTGTTTTATTTTATTTTGTCTTACGTTGCGTTATGTTATGTAACCCAGCCATTAATAATTAATTATTAATTATAATTATCAAAAATAATCATGATTAATTGCCATAAAAAAATAATCGAAAATAATCAAATAATTAGAAATAATCAAATAATCAAAATTAATCTTTTTTTGATTATTTTTAATTGTTTGATTATTTTTAATTACTGGATTGTTTTTAATAATTTGATTGTTTTTAATAATTTGATTATCTCCAATTATTTGATTATTTCTAATTATATGATTATTTTTAGTTATTTTTCCAAATAGATGAAGTTGTGTTTGGCAAGCAAGTTTTTATAAATTAGTATTAAATAACTGAAATTAAATTCACTGTACGAGTAAGTACTGGTACTGTAATTTACAATTAAGAAATGATTTATCAAAAGCATTTCAATGTCAACTGTCTTTGCCATTCATGAATACTTCTAGAAAGAAATTTGTAGAGGACACATTGAATCAGATCTTCCATATAGACATAGGTATATACATATGTCTGTACGTATATTTAAATTTTAGTTTTTTTGTCTTCCTTTTGCCCTAAACACAGCATATAATGAACTTAAAACAATATACAAAATGCCCCTTTCGGTTCCTGCTACCATTGAATAGGATTTCTTGATGCAAGAACACCAAAAATATCTGTTTAAATTTTTTCAAAAATCATACTGTTTTCAGGTAAAAAAAATTAAAACAATTGAAGGTGATATGAAAGGTGAAGGCAATTTTTTTCCAACGAAAGTATTTTTCCTCGATTTTCTATCTCAAGGCTTTAAAATGTGGTAAAAAATGGTTAACTGTATTTCACTAGATGTTTTCGTTTTCGAGATATTACATTTTGTCAATATCTACACTGTGCGGTGTTTAACAAGAACTTTTAATTTGATTATTTCTTATACTTCGTTCACATTACAGCGTAAACTGCAGAAATTACATTCCCCAACATTGTACAACATATTATTCATAAGTTGAAATAAAATTAAAAAAAAAATCAAATAATTATATTAGATAATCGTATAATTAAAAAAATCAAAAATAATTGAAAATAATCAAATAATTACATTAATCATGCAATTACAAAAAATCAAAAATAATTGAAAATAATCAAAGAATTATATTAATCATGTAATTAAAAAGTTTCAAAAATAATTGAAAATAATCAAAAATAACCAAATAATTTTGTAACTAAAATTAATTGATTGATTAATTAAATCATTTTTGAAAGTAATTAAAAAGGTGCAAATAATCGTATTTAATCATTAAATGGTTACTCAAAACAAAAAAAAAAACATGCTTTAATTAATAATCATTATGATTTTTAATCATTATTTAACAGGTCTACTTCTAAGTCGCCTATGCTGTCGATCGGCCTGGGGATGCCAATATTTCATGTACCAAAGGCTTAAATTTATGCCAGTTTGTGTTCCTAGGGATCCTTCTTCCTAGCTTTTGGCTAGTTTTATTTAAGTCTGTCTTGTTTTTAACCTTTTTCAGCCCAAAATTCCTTAAAAAATCCCTTAGTTTCTTTCAACAACCAAAATATTTTCCTTTACTCACCTTTAACACAGCAAATATTTCATTTAAATGATAATGAAAATTATTTCGAACAAATGTTCTTAGTATGCGATCGCGTCGTGTTTCATTAAAACCAAATTCCAAATCTTGTGCACTCAAATCCAGATACGATTCCACTGAGGTAAGGCAAAAAATGAGGTCGCGTTTTGGAAAATTTGCGAATTCAATTCCTGATGTACTACGAGTGCGAAGAAGGTGGTTTGAAAGAGAAATTAAAAAAGTAGATGGCCCGATTATAAAAAGTAGTTGAATGCAAATTTATTTACTAAAGAAACAGCTACCTACCTAACTATGACTGAACCCAAAGGCAGTGTCAATTCTCCAACTGAATCGGTATTCGGCGATATAACTGTGCCATCAATGAAAGGCGCAAAGCCGCTTAGAAATCTGATTCCAACAAAAAAATTGATTTATATGAATATTTATTTATTTTTTTATTTTCTTCGTAGCCACCCAAATAAAACCACCTTACCTCGGATGATCGATTTTCACAGCCAATAGCTCCTTAACAGTCTTCGTTCGCAGGCAAGGCGCCAAATCATCATACAACATATCGCCATGACAGCCTGTCTGCTCGGCTACACGTCGCTTCACGAACAACGGATTCCTTTGTATGGACCATGGTGATAGCGCAGAGCCACTTACCAATACTGCGCGTTGCACAAGATCTGTAAAAATTAACATTGTCCACTTTGAGCACTGTGTCACTATTTGTACGAAGGGGAAATGAAAAATCCATACCACTTGCCACCGGCGATACCATCAAAATATTGGCCAACGCCGCACCGGTACTATGACCCAACAGTGTGATGCGTTGTGGATCACCACCAAAGGCAGGTAAATTTTCCTTCAGCCAATGTAAGCCAGCAACCAAATCCATTAGACCGAAATTCCCTTGTGCACTCTCTTTGCCACCAGTTTTTAAGAAGCCAAATATGCCAAGCCGAAAATTGATGGTGATTACGATAACATTGCCATGCGCTGCCAACTCTGATCCATCGTAAGGATTGCCGGAATTCCACTCGTACGATTCACCGTGTATGAGTAGCAGGGTGGCGAGCAAGATTGTGGGTGGATCGTGTATGTGCTCCATGCTGTTCGGCCCAGTCGAGCCTAGTTGAGGAGGGTCGAGGGGAGAGAAAATGTTTGCAACTATGTATTTAATTGTATACTTTGAAGATATTTTGTTTGTTAACGACTGGTAGCTATGTATGTACGTATGTATGATATGTATTTGTCACACGTTGCTTATCGCCAAGGTATTATCACTTCCACAATGCTTGCAGTAATTTAAGTAATCAACTGCAATGCACTACGGAATTGATGACTCCAGAGCTTTTGATTTCAAATTTCATTTCATTTTTACATGCATTTTGCCTGATTTTTTACTTACGCCTTTTTCGTCGATTCTCATATGGAACATAAATATTTAAATATAAACAGTCTTCCGATTGATTACTCAGCAATGGCAGCAGTCGTCGTAGTTGTGCTAATCGAGCACGCGGCACTTCTAGCAACGCTTCTGGTCCGTTAGGCGGTATTGGCACCGTTTGCGGACATACGGGTGAGAAGCGATCTGCATTTCGTACATTTTTCCATGTGGATGGCGTAATGGGTGGCATAAATCTGTGGTAAGATACGTGTTTTAGTGGAATTTATAAGCCTAACTTTCAAGCGCTTTTTAGATGCAGCAATCTGAGTAGAAATGTAGCAAATTAAAAGAGGATTTTGCTGCTAAATTAATTGGGAAATTCTGGCAAATGCTTTCAACTAACCACAGCCTTTCGATAGACAAAAGTAGTTTATAAGATAACGGTCAGTTCTGGCAACTATTTTGCAAGCTCTTTTCTGCCTTTCGCAAGACGAATTTAAAGATATGCTATCGAGGAGGTCTTAGGCGTTACTCTGTTTGTCTTTAAGCAATAAGTTTTCTATAAATTCAATTAAATCATAAGAAAAAAAGAATTATAAAAAAATTATAATTTAAAAAAGAAAAAAGTTAATAAAATAAGTTTCTAGTAATTAAACGATATAAAAAATATTTTCTTTTTAAAATTAAATGAAAACTATATAGTAAAAATAATAATAAAAAAAAATTTAAGTTCCTATAAATTAAATGAATATAAAAAAGATGATTTTTTCTTTTTAAAATAATGAGTACTAAAAATATATAAAAAAAGTAATAATTAAAATGAAAAGGAAAAAATTGGCAAAAAATAAAAAATAAGTTACTAAAAATTAAAAGAAAAATAAATAAATATATGTAATTAAAAAAGATCAATTAAAAATACGAAAAAAAAACAAATTTGAAAACTAAATGAAATTAGTAAAAACCTGTTTCTTTTTAAAACCATAAAATAAAAAATTTAAATAAAAAAAAGAAATACATATAAATAAAATAAGTAAAAATTAAATGAAAAAAAATATTTATATTTACATTTTCAAACAACAAAATTTAAAAAGTAAAAGAAAATTTAATAAGAAATATGATAAGTAAAAAAATTTAAAAAGTTCTTAAAAATTAAAAGGAGTTTAAAAATGGTAATTTTTATTTTACAACGCTTTTATCAACTTGCAATGTTGTGTGCCCAGACCCCATTTTTAGCTATAAAACCTTTGCTTTGCAAAGATCCTATAAAAAGTATAGACATCAACCTCGTGGGCAGGTATCATACCAAAGAACATTAGACTCTAGAAGTAGATGTCGCCTCCCCGGAAGTAGTTAAATATTGCGCCTAAAAATATGCACTACGTACGCTACAGCAGAAATGGACTACACGCCATTTCTTTAAATGAAATTAATTGGTGCTCGTATGTATGCACATTAGGGTGGTCCAAAAACAGCAAAGTCAAAATTGTAATGCTATCACCCCCTAGGATGGTTCCATATCCAAAAAAGTATACCCCTATTTGTTTTATTTTGAAATCAAAATATATTTAGAGGTCGCTCAAAGCGCTCAAAGTTTTCCATGTATTTTTATATGGGAAAAATTAAATTTTTCGTAGAAATGGTATACAATTCCTGAAAATCAATATTTGTCAATTGGAAAACTCTGGTTCTCTTCAGGATACTTTCAATAATAATACCCAATCGTTTATTTAACCATGTTATAATACTAACGATTTTTTATTGGTCGCCCCATAGCATTTTTCGGGTTTGTTTGTGGGTTATTGTCGGACCTATAAATTATAGTTGTGATGAAAAAATGGTTAATTGGGTATTATTTTTTATTGGGAATTTCCTGCAGATAAACCGAGTTTTCTGGTAGAAAAATATTGATTTTTAACTATTCTAAACCATTTCTACGAAAAGTTGTTTTTTCCCCATATAAAATACATGGAAAACTTTGGGCGCTTTGAGCGACCTCTAAATATTTTTTGATTTCAAAATAAAAAAATAAGGGCATATTTTTTTCGGTATAGAATAATACTAGGGGGTAAGAGCATTAAAGTTCCGACTTTATTTTGTTTTTTTTTTACATGCATTTTTGGACCACCCTAATGTACGTACACATATGCATGTGTGTGCACCAATCTATTAATATCGTTGAATTATTTTAATATCTATTGCAAAATTTTACACAGACAAGACTAAAGAGAAGAAAATAAATAAAATAAAAAACACTTTTTAATATACCACGCTTTTATAAATGGATTAAAAATTAGAAAATAATATTTCTCAGTCCCATATAATTTGTTTTGATAAATTTTGATTTTGAAATTTTAGTAAAAGTGATTAGAATTAATTTATGAGATTGAAAATGAAAAGCGTGGGACGTATGTAATAGACTTGAATTGATATGAAAAGTAATATATGTATGTATGTGGGTATATGAATAACGACCGCTTAAAATCGATCTCAAATTTGTATTTGTGCTATAGATATTCTAGGTCTATGTTATGTAGTTTGCCTATTGCCACGTGTTTTAAAGTCAAATTCAATTTAATGAAATATTACAATACGGATATCAAACGAAAGTTGTTTAAGAAAGCTTTATTAGAAAACAGTTTTGAGGAGGATGCCACCTGTTTAAAATATCAAATTCAATTTAGGTACTCTTAAAATTTAAAAAATGGAATATCTTTCATTTTTACAGCAAATATTTCCACATTTCCCAAATTTCGCCTAATTTGTTCGGTATTCCTTTTTTTAGGCAAATGGACGGTAAGCCGATGAATCTTTCTAGCGTCGTTCCACTCCGCTGCTATTTTCCTGAAACCTAAAAGACTTTTAATCTACGAAGAGATAGCGAGTTCTGCACCTAAATATTGACTGGCTTTACTTCAGACATTACTGAAAGCTCCGGAAAAATATTGTTGTCGAAGCGAAGTTTATACCATCTAGCTTTGTGAAAAACACAAGCGCATTTTTAGAAGGGTTAACTCCTAGCCCATTTTGTTTTGCTCACTTAGTAACACTACCTAGTGACGATAACTTGTTGGTTTTGGTCGAATTTGATTAAATAGTTTACAGCCCACTTCTTCTTGATTGGCGCTGTAATAGGCCTGTAAATGTTTAGACTAACGATTTCTTAACACTCTTTCGTTTGAAACCCACATTTTAATATTTCATATAACTTGTGTATGTATATGTTAACTAAATTCGACTTCTCAAACAGGTGGCAAACCTCTTCAAAAGTATTTTCAAACAAAAATATTCTAAAATCTCTTTCGACTGGCAGCAAGATACATTTGTATTACAATTAACTGATGAATTAGGTGAATTTGTTTTTTTTTTAACACGTTGCAATCCTACTAAATATAATACAAAAATAAAGCCTTTAAATCCATTTCGATTTATATTCATTTGACTTATTAAAATATTTGAATTTAAATTTCAAAACAGTTCGCAAACCGCTTCAGGCACCTCAAAAATATTCTAAATATTCAAACTAAAGATTTCTTAACACCTTTCGTTTGACAACTATTTTTTTAAATTTAATATATGCAACTTGTGTTGATTTAATTAAATTCGACTTTTCAAACAGGTGGCAACCATTTCAAAACATTGTCAAACCAAACCATTTCTAAATCTCTGCGCTTTTTATATATGTATGTATATGGATGCGTGGCGGTCAAAAGTGGATGAACGGTGTTTAGTTTTCAATATTTACTATGTTTTTCAAGCTAAAATTTTTTTAATCTTTTTTATAAAAACATGGTTCATGCTTTAACAAAAACCATATAAAACACGCTTTCAAACTTTATACAGAATATAGAAAAACTCCAATTTCAAATTTTTATCTAAATTTCGAGTTTTTCAACCAGGATTTTTATAAATTTTCTGGGTATGCAGTTAAGAAGCTTATACAATTTTAGTAAATTAAGTGCAAGTTTTGAGCGGTTAGAAAATGGCATTGATTTTTAATATATTTTTTTTTTTTGTTGACGGCTTTAGCGGTTTTTTGCATAAAAATAGCAAAATCTAAGAAAACTGGCGTTGACTTCTACAAAAAATCAGGCTCATATGAAAAAAGTGCAAAACACCGTCAACAAAAAAAAAAAAAAAAAATTATTAGAAATCAATGCGATTTTTTAGTCGCTCAAAACTTGCACTTCTTTTACTAAAAATTTGATTAGCCTGTTAACTGCATATCCAAAAAATTTATAAACATTCTGGTTAAAAAGCTCGAAATTTAGATAAAAATTTGTGGAATTTTTCTAAATTCTGCATAAAGTTTGAAAGTGTGATTTATATACGGGTTTTGTTTTATAAAAAAATAAAAAAAAAAATTTAGCTTGAAAAACATTATTAAAAACAAAACACCATTCATCCACTTTTGACCACCAGTGTATGTATAGATACCAAAGTCATTTTACTCACCGCAAACTTCCGACAGGTGGCGATGCATACGGTATGCCCAGATAGGCTTCCACGAGCGGACTAGAGCGCACCACAATGCCGCGCAACAGACCATATTTGGTTTTCACCGTATTGGCGCTCAATTTGACGCTGCCATGAAAACACTCAGTGCCATGCCACAACGAAGATAACAAAATCAACACAGTGAGCGAGCGATGCAACAACGACACGCGACCAAAGTGCAAAACTAAACGCCAACGGCTATGAAATTTAACTAAGAAACGCATAACGTGACGGCATAAACACTTCAACGCTTCACCTGCGGCAGATGCGCATTGTAAGATGGATGCGTAACCAACTTTTAGTAGATGTTGTTGTAACAGCTGCTGCTGCTGATAGTGCATTAGTTGCGGTTGTGGTTGAGCGTGCAGTTGGTTTCCAGTTTGCGGTTTGAGTGTGGCTTGGGGAAGGAGTGTAGATGGCTGATGGGCTGCAGTTGCTGGCATTGATGGCGTTAACGCTTTTAATGGCTGTGCCTGTGGCGGCTGTTGCTGTTTAGGTGGCAAAAGCGCTGGAAGCGTTACTGGCTTGAATGTGCGCTTTTGAGGTGATAACCTTAACACTTTTACCGCTGCTGGTTTTGTTTCAGTTGCTGTTGTTGTTGTTGTTGTTGTTGCTGCTGTTACTGATTTTGCTTCTTTTTTTATCAAAGCATCTGCTTCTATACTCTTGATTTGCTGTATTTCTGCATTTATTGCCGCCACTGACGCTTTCGCACGCACATTTCGTACTATTCGTCGCCACAGCTGACAGCTGACAGCCGTGCTAATGGCGCTCAGGCAGTTTTTTATACGCTTAAGTAATACATTTGATTGTTGCTTAGGAATTTGAAGAAATCTCTTTAATGATATCAGTCTTATAATGCAAATTCCTTGTAGTCGTCGTCCTCGTCCTCGTCCGCGTCCTCGTCCTTGTCGTTGTGGTCCTTTAATTTGAGGCATTGTCAACGTGTCGCCATCACCAGCACCAGCACCAGCACCACCACCGCCGCCGCCGCCGCCGCCGCCGCCGCCGCTGCTGCTCCAACAGCTACTACAGCTGCTTTTACTTTTGCTGCTGCTTCTTCTTCTCCTTTTTGTTCTGCTATAAGTTTTGATTGTTGCACTTCTCGTTGTGTCTGCGTTTGTGTTTACTTTTTCATTTGTAGCTGTGGTTGGGGTTGTGGTTGTGGTTATCATTGTGGCTGTATTTGTGTTTGTGCAAGTGATTGAAGTGAAAGTGGGTTTAGCTGCTTTGTTGCCCGTCACCATTGTTGTTTTGGCTATTGCTGTTGCATTTGTTGTTGCTGTTGCAGCATAAAGTGTTGCCCCAATTTGCATGGTAATGAAGTGATTTACAAAATGCTCGAAAATCAGCCATTTTATATAAACGACACTATGGACTACACACTGCCGCCACCACTGGCTCTTCGGTGTCTTCTCCATCGCCGTTACCCTCCCCGTCTGCTGCTGCTGCATACCATTGTTATTGTTTTCATGCTGGCAGTGACTTTTCGATTTTTGGCCACAGCTGCTGCCTGTGCTATTATTGCTGATTGGTTTTGCAAACTTTAACTTATTGCAATTGACTTTAGCAGAAGTGCTGGTGTTGGTGTTGGCTCTGGTGGCGGGCCTGCTATAGTTGATTTTTGATTTAAACGCACTGCTGCTGCGGCGGCGGCATCTGCATTGACTGCTGTGATGAGCACTGCAGCTGCTGTTGTCACTGGCATTAGTGTTGTTTTTAGCTATACTACTGCCGGTGCAATGGGGCGTATACGCAACTTTAAGTGCTGCTGATGATGGTGTTTGCTCGTCGTCGTCGTCGCTGTCGTTGTCGTTGTCGTTGTCGTTGCTTGCACTTCTGCTTGTTCTGGGCGTAAAGTAATTAAGTATCAACATACAGTGTACACGCAGGAGAATAAAGTAAATATTTAGTTGTCTGATAGCTTGCAGCCATTGGCTATTGATGTGTAATGTTGGCCAAGCCAACGACCGGTAGGTCGGTTGGCGCCGCCATCGCCACCAACATTGCCATTGCCATCGCCATCGCCATTGCCACCGCCACTGTGGCCTGTGCCACCGCCACCGCCACCACCACAACCAAGTCGTCCAACGCCAATGCGACAATGCTGCCACTGCGCCGTTGTTGCTGCTGTTATCGTTGTTGTAGTTAATAATCTTACTGCTGCTGCTGCTGCTGCTGCTACCACTGCTGTTGATCCAGCTGCTAGCGCGCCAACAGCCGCGCCGTTTTTCTCTGTTTTTTCTTGCGCTTTTGCTTTTGTTGGTCAAGTCAGCTGCTTCATTTTGACCGTTGTCGTGTGCAATGTCAACTTCGTTCGCCTCATTTTTATCGGCATGCTGCGGCCGATATACTTTGATTTCAAATATTATATAATTTATGCAATGCGGTCGTCTCGATCGGAAGTTTTACGTTCAGTTTTTTTACTACTTTTCTTTTTCTTTCTATTTGCGCTTTTGCTCTACTTCAACGCTTCCTTTGGCTTCGTTTGCAATCGTTTAAGTTGAATTTCGCCTTTGTATTTGTATTAAGTTAACGCTTCCGCTGCTGCACTGTGCGCCGAATGAAAATCAAAATGAGAACAAAAAAAGTTGCAATTAATTTAAGGAAAGTTTTTTATCATTGCTTTTGTTGTAATTTGTAAAAGTTGTTTGCTTCAATCTCCTGCTTTCTAACTATGCTGCAATTAGTATTTGCAATGGAAAACAGTTCCGTGTCCTTATAAGTGAACACACACACACATATAGTATAGCGCGTGTGTGTGTGGGTATGTATGCCGTGAGCGTGCGTGTAAGTGTGCTTCTTTGTAAGTAACTATGTGTAGCATTTAGAATTTATAAATTAGGATGAGCTAGTATCTAGCAGTGTTGTGTTGTGGTTGACTGTGGCTGTGTGACACCTTCACGCTTGCGAGTTAGAGTGCAGACTGTGCGACCGAGATTAGTTGCACCAGCTTAAGTAGCCTCGGCAGCGGTTGGTCGACACAACTGCGACCGCATTATAACTTGTATGTCTGTATGTATATACATATGTAAGCTGGCAGGAGGAGTGAGTGCTTTACTTTTGTGGTGTACGCAAGACGAAGGTATCTCTGCATAGATTAGCATGTCTTAAGTACAGCACATACACACATATATGCCTACTTGCATGCAATTGTATATACATAAATATATATATATATATATATATATATATATATATATATATATATATATCAATGTAGTTAAGCTGCAAAAAAAAAATTGTGCGACTAGTCTCTAAAGAGAGTATTCCGAGAGTAAACTCAATCGGGTACAATTGACCAGTAATTAGTCGCAACTAGTCTCATACGGATATAATTGGGGATCAATTAGTCCCCTACTCATCTCTAACGGGTACTATTAACGATTTATTGATATGTACGCACTTAATCAATGAAATTCGATATGCGGCGTTGACACAGAGAGAGAGTATTCGCTTAACTAAACTGAGAACCCCGGTTCAAATCGCATCTGGCGTAATTTTTTTATTTTTTTTTTAAGTGTCTTATCGCTTATATACACGTTCGAGTATAATGGGGAACAATTAGTCACTTCGTAGGGCATGCTCAAACAAAAGCGGACAGTTCATCCATGTTCCTTTGCGATTGCTCTCGGATTCATTACGGATTAGTTGCATTTTTTGCAGGGTATTTACATTCTTTGAAATAGGGTGAAATGCTGTGCGTGTGCATAGAAGTTTATTAATCCCAGGCTTTTAATTGTGCCTTAATTAAAACAAATACTTTCCTAAATTTTACGAATTGGTTGTGGTTTCTTTACTTAAGAACAAAGAAGGAATTCATTTTGAGTGATGGTTGAATTTTCGAGTGCTTTTACAATTTTCCTATTTTATAGCTTATTGATTGTTTGAGCCACAAATTTACTCGAAGTTGCGGAGGATAGCCAAAAGTTAAATATATTTTAAAGATTGTTCAATCTTAGTAGAGTTCGCCCAGCGGTTGTAATTTAACCGCTAAAATTAAGGGTAGTTGAAGTGAATTGAGTTGAGTTGAATTAAGGGGAGCTGAACTGAAGAGAAGTTAGTTCTCGTGAGGTGTGTTTAGATAAGTTAAGGTGAGTTAGGGTGAGTTGAGCTGAGTTGAGATGGGTTGTGGTGAGTTGAGCTGAAATAACATTAATTGGGTTGAGTTGATTTGAGGTGAGATGAAGTGATGTGAGGTTAATTGTGTTGATATGAAATTAGGTGAGTTGGAGTGAGCTTAATTAAGAGGACTTAAGGTGAACTGAAAGGAGTTGATATGCGGTTAGTTGAGGAGTTGTGGTGAAATAAGTTGAACAGCATAATATAACACAACATAGCATAGCATAACGTAGCATAGCATAACATAACTTCACATAACACAAGATAATACGACACAAAACCACATAACATGGCATAACATAACAATAAAACATAACATAATATAACGTAACATAACATAACATAACATAATTTAACATAACATAACATAGCATTACATAAAATACAGTAACATAACATCTCAGTCTTCAGTTTTATATGTTTCTTTTCTCCAACATTTTCTTTATCTCTATTTGTGTCTCTATCGTTTTTTATCCTTATTTTTACCTTCATATTTATCTTTTAATTTTTATCTTAATCTTTTCCTTCACTTTTATCTTGATCTTTACCTTTTTTCATCTACATATTCATCCCTATCTTTTCTTTTTTTGTTTTTTAATAATTATTTAAATTTAGTTTCCTTTTTATCTTTATCTTTAGATTTTTTTACTTTTTATTTTAATCTTTGCCTATATCACTTTTTTCTTCTACATACTCAACCTTACCTTCCTTGTATGAATCTTACCGCCCAATTCTGTGTACTTGACAAATTGTCAAGCCTTACTATTTGTCAATAAATTTGCGCCTAAACTATGCTGGAAAAATTTAATTTTAGGCGCTTTAAAAATGCACAACAAATTTGGCAAATACAAACAAATCTTATCGGCATAGTTTCAGGCGTAAATTTATTGACAAATGGTCCAGGTTGATTATTTGTGAAGTGCACAGAATAATAAATCTTATTCCCAAACTGCTGCTTAGCACGTTTATTTAATTCAGTGTCAATAATAAAGCATACATTTAGGAGGCATTTTCTCCTCATGTACGTGTATGACATTTATATTAGTGTCACTTTTCAATTGATTTTTTCGCTTTAAACTAATTTGAAATTTGAGTTTGTGTAGGTGATAACAGTCTCCCTGTGAATTCCCTTAATTGCCAGTCTTTACAGTCCCGGTTACATTGGTTATTGTATGTAGCGTTCGACCTCGTCCTTCAGTTCGTAGACATGCCTTCCGACGTGCTTGGATGGAGGTTCCGCATCGAGTAAGTTGCCTGTTCGGGTGCTCACGTCTGTAGCACCCTATTAGGACTTGCTTGCAAAGCATGATGTTGTGCTTCCTTACCAGATAGGAACATTTAGGCTCCACTGTATTTGTGGTCTACTGCTTAAAAAACTGATTAAAAGAAGGAAATACATATTTGCTGGTCAACACATTAAACGTTACATTGCGGTTGGTTCCGGAACCAGACTTTAAAAGAAAGTTACTATCAGATGTATCCAAAGTAATATTAATATCTTCATAACCCACAGAGGCTGTCAGACGCGTTGGAGAAATGCAGTGTTTCTGTCAATAGGTAGTCTTGGTTTCTACAAGAAGAATGAGGTCTACTGCAGAAGGTGCCACCTAAGTGAAACCTAACAACATAGCTTTAAGAAATACGGGGAAAAGAGCTGCTTATAATAACCGGGAATTTCAATTCGGGGCCTATGCGTATCACCGAACGTGGAAAAAAATCTTCTTGGGAAAAAAGCTTCATTGGAACGTGGTCGGAAATATACCAACATATCTTTTATACTAACCTTATAATGTTTAAAAAAGGAGTGATATTTGCTTCCAATCAAATCCCTTGCCGTGCGCATCTTCAAAACTACGCTACCATCGGGATCTATTCTGAAATTTGTAGAGTATGCCAGTTGCAGTGTTGTGATTAGTTGAAGGTACAATAGACCTACTCGTCGCACCGCTTACTCTATTTATATCTGGCTTTATATATATCAGACCATTGTTTATGTTTGAGCTGTGCCCAAGGGTCTCTGTTTGCATAGCCCAGTCTTTCTAAGTCTTACTGCTGAGCACATTGCGACTTCCTTTAGGTATAGACCAATGGGAGTCATAATGAGAACCACACTCAGTGCTTCTAAATGTGTAGCAGTATTTCAGTACCACAGTTATCCCCGAACAGACCGCTCTTTGTTTGCTACTTAAGGTCGTTTTCTGAAGTAACCTTTAACTTTAAAGCGCACTTTATATTTAAAGGTTGCATTAAAATTTATGATTGTGTCTAAAGTGAAGCATTTTATTAACGGTTTTAAATTGGTTTACAACCAAGAAACATATGTATATACGTCAAAAACCGATAACAGAAATGCTTAACATCAGCCATAGATTTATTTTCCATCTTTAAATATAAAGTGAGCTTTAGAGTTACAGGTTACTTCAGAAAACGTCCCTTACTCTACTAAACTGGTATTGTTTGCTTAACGCTGGCTACCTTACTAAGTTAGATTTTTAACTATATTTTAAATGTAAATTTATTTTGTTGAAAATAAAAACATAACTAAAGTTTAATGGAGTAAATCTAAAAATCAGTCAAATAATTTTTTCATCTTTTGTTAATGCCATCAGATCTGCACCGTTTGTTCGATTTTTAAAAATAAGAATTTGCATTAAATGCATTGTCCTTTAAATGTGTAAGAAAGGTCTGATGTTTTGAAAAAAGTTGCCACCTGCTAAAAAAATTGAGTTCAAATTATTTAATAAATTAAGTCATAGCTCGAAAATATTTTGAAGAGCATCGCCAACTGTTTACAAATCGAATTTAATTAAATTATACACAATTTTTATATATGAGATATTAAAATATTATTAACAAACGAAAGGGTAATGGCATTAAATTGAATTTAATTGGTTAAAGAGGTGGCAACCCTTATACGTGTACTTCAGAAGTAAAGTATTTTCAGAACCATGCCGATTGATACTCATATTGCAATATCTAGTTCATTTAACTTATTAAATAATTTGAATGCATTTTTTTAATAGGTGGTAACCCTTTTTAAAAAAATCAAACTTTTCTGCACATCTACCGACTAAACCCTGTAAACTGGAACCTCACTTTTGAAAATAGAATGAACTATAGGTACTATGTAAATGCACTTCAAACTGCATTTTTGAATTCAGCGTCTTCAAGTTCACTAGGAAACGAATTTTCATTGAAATCCGTCCTCTGTGCGCCATAGTTAAGGATTCGCTTTATCATAGCGGTGTACATTTACATCACATCGTCACTTATACAAAGGCAATTACGGAGACGAATTCGTCGACAAAGTTGCAGGCGAGTTCGACGGCGAAGTCAGATACAAAAACCAAAATTAATACGAACGCGTCTACGACTTCGAAGACAAAGGTGAAGGTGAAGGTCAATTCGAATACGAAGACCAAGCGAAGAC